GAGGCGGCAAGACAGTTCAACCCGTAACACCAAGTTTTTCAAAATACTACTGAATGACACCTTCAATACGCCAATACTTTTTAATATTTCACCATAACCAGAGAGCAAGGGTATACAGTGAGATTTAGATGGCATTAAAATGATGCCTTAGTCAAGGATCCAGGAACACCAGAGTTCTGTCCTCTATTGACTTCCTAAGGGCCCACACTAATGACAAATGGGAAAATCACAGATGTACCTGACGCCCCAATGCAAAGTGTATAGTAAAACCGGGTTGGAAGTCAGGGCCTAACTAGGAGATTAAACTTAAATTCAGGTCTGATTCCCTGGGAGATGCTCTCTCCTCTGGTAAAGAGGGGGAGAGGTGGATGACGCATGATACACGGATTATCTGTGCTGACACACTGTGCACCGTGCCCCCACCCACACACCAGCACTACTGAGGACTGAAAGAAATTAAAACTTGTTCCAGAAATGTTGACTTGTGGGAGTTAACCAAGGTTAGGCGCTTTTGTGGGAGCTTAGCAAAACTAAGATTGCACGAGAACTTGAATGCAACAAATACAACACCTCTGTTACACTGGTATCCCTTGGAAGCTGAAGTCGCAGCTATGGTTTTTAGCGCTAATAAAACAAATAACAGTTAATGGCCATAGCGCATCCCATGGCCATAGACAGAATGTGCGAAGAGCTACGAACACTGTTTATCCTTAGGTTTATCCTAAATTAAAAGAATATATGGACAGATAAATTCTTCTGATTGTGATCTCACTGGAAAAATCGCCAATACACGCTTCCCTCTTGAAAGGTCAAACAGACAGAAACTCACATCAGATGCGAACTTCCATGTTTCCAGTTCTTTTTTAATTACATTATGTAATCTCAACTCTTCCTCTGAAAAAAGAGAATTACTAAGGAATCAGAGGGATAAACATTTTGCTAGAATTGGAAGTGAATCACTTTTTAGCAATATTTTAAATGTGGACTCAACTTCTGCATTATGTTCACTCCAGAGTAAAAATTAAATGTAAATGAGGAAAAACAAATGGGATGAAGTGCTTCCTCCTACTATAGGCTACAAAGAGGCGGGCATTGTGAAACAAGCAAACTTGCGGAATGCAAAATCTGGCCAGAAACAGGAAATGCAGAATGTTAACATCTCCGTGGAAAAAGAAAGACAACGTGTTGAATGAATATACGACCCAAATTCAAATTCACGGAACCTGAGTCTGTGAATACTCCAAAATCTGCTCCCATGCACAGGGCACTAAACCTGTCTAAGCTCCAGTTTCTCCATCTATCAGATGAGGGTAATGATAACCTGCATCAGTTATGGAACACATGTAACAGAAAACCCAGACAACAGATGCTTAAATAAGAAGGAGGTTTGTGCGCCCTATGAAAAGAACAGACTGGCAGTCCAGGGCTGGGATCATGGCCTCCTCCGGCCCCGGGTTCCTTCACACTCAGAGCCAGTCATGGGGCTATGACCTGTGGACCCAATGCTAGGGTAATTCTCTGCTATTGGCATTTTTAGAGTATTAATAATTGAGAACTGCAGTCCTGCATGTCCACTTTGCACTGGGCCCTGCAAATTATGTAGCCAGTCTAGTTCACAACTTCAAGCTTTCTAGTCTACCATCCTTTCTGGGAACATGATCCTCTTCCCCTAACCTTTCCTTCCAGATCCCAAGCAGGAACTTTCTGCTCAATAACCTCTACCTCCATTCCAGAGGCCAGAACTTAGTACGTGGCTTCTCTTTTTTTTTTTTTTTTTTTGAGTCTCCCTCTGTCGCCCAAGCTGGAGTGCGGTGGCATGATCTCGGCTCACTGCAACCTCTGCCTCCCGGATTCAAGCAATTCTCCTGCCTCAGCTTCCCAAGTAGTTGGGAGTACAGGTGCATGCCGCCACACCCAGCTAATTTTTTGTATTTTAGTAGAGACGGGGTTTCACTGTGTTGCCCAGGCTGGTCATGAACTCCTGAGCTCAGGCAATCCGCCCACCTTAGTCTCCCAAAGAGCTAGGATTACAGGCATGAGCCACTGCGCCTGGCCAGTACATGGCTACTCTTACCAGCAGAGGAACTTAAGGATACAGTTTTTGTAGCCAATTGCCTCTCCCAGCAAAATCAGTAAGAAACTAGAAGCAGATGGATACTGTGGAAGGCCTTGACACAAAAGTCAAATAAAAGAGATCGTCGGTACAATGAAACACATCCAAATTTAGTTGCTCTAATGATTAAAAAGGCAGGATAAAGTAGATTATCTACTTAATATAATCAGACCATTGAAAATGTTCCATATAATTAGGAATAATAAAAAGATAAGGCAGATAATCTCAAGAGTATTTCAATTATTTGTATGCTCACTGTGAGAATTTTATAATTATACAACAGTTTTAAGTAAAATAAATTAGTAACAAATATTAACTGCCCTCCTACAATATAAAAATATTATATTTGTATAAGGAGTTAACAATCTAGTAGAGAATAAGACACCTTTGACAGCAAAGGTAGATTCCAAGTGAGTGATAATAACACAAAATACGTAGTAGAAATGAATGACTGCTGCCTGGTCTCATTACTTTAGGATATACTTCCCATTTAAAGGAACCTTAAAGATTTCAAACAAGTGTAAGTACAACGTTCAGAACAATTGTGGAAGGTTCCAGCTGGATATTCACTTACAAGATCTGGCAATATCTTTGAGAAGTAAATAGTTAGATGTCATTTTTCCATCTTTGCTGAAAAGGGCATTTCCTATCCAACATTTGTTTTGAAAAAGACAAAGCAGTAGATAAGGTAACTGCTGCTATATGGGCTGTTCATCTTTCCAAACAACACGTATCTTGTTAGTTTCCTAAGCAAGGATTTTCAATGGCTTCTTAACACTGTTTTTATTGAGTCTAAAGTCCTCTGCCTACCATCTATCATTCAAGACCCTTCTTAATTTAGGCCCATCCTAAGTAAGCAAATTTACTAATTTTCTTAACTCTCTAGTGGCTTTCTACCATAAATCATAATTATGACAACAGCTAATTATATATATTAACACTAAGAATCTGAGATATAGCTACAGTGGTGTTCAGATGAAAATTCACATCCTCATATGATTATATTAATAAACAAAAGTAAAAATGAATGAATTCAGCATACCACTCATGGAGTTAGGAAAGGAAGTAATAAAGTTGAAATTAATAATTTAGAAAACAGAAAAAGAATAAAACTGATAAATACAACCAAAGCTGACTCTCTGAAAAAATAAATAAAACAAATTCCTGCTTAATCTAAGCAAGGAAAAGGGAGAAATTAAAAACATATAACATGAGAAATGCTAATGGGACAATAACTACAGAAAATTAGAAGAAGCAAAAGACAACTTCACAAATATATTTGAATATTCTATGCAAATATATTTGAAGTACTATATATTATAACATATATTATATTATACATTATATTAATAGGTATTATATTATATATTATACTAATATATTTGAATATGCTATGCAACTATATTTGAAATATGAATGAGATTATCATTTTTCTAAGAAGATATCATTTACCAACCTGATGACAAAAAAGAGAAAAATCTTAAGCAGATTTATTTCATAGATGAAACAAAGAAACTAGCCAACCACTCTCCCTAATTCCCTAAGTCCAGTCGGTTTCACAGGGATTTCTCCCAAATATTTAAAAAACAGATCATTCCAGTGCCATTTAAACTACCTAGACTATGAAAAAGAAAAAAAACTTTTAAATTATTTTGATAAAGCAACTATAGCACTGCTACCAAAACCCAGTAACAATTTCATATACACATAAAGGAAAATTACAGATCAGTCTTACAAATGTTGATGTAAAAATTATAAATTATCCAACAGAATATATGATGACCAAGTGACATTTATTCCCAAATGCAAATATGACTTGATGGAGGAATTATTAATATATCATACTAATAAGTTAAAGGGAAAGTAATATGACTAGATTTATAGATAGTAAGAAAAGCCCTATCAAAATTTAATCTCCATTATGAGGTTTTTATTTATTTATTATGTTTTTAAAAATAATACAGATAAGGTTCCACTATGTTGACCAGGCTGGTCTTGAACTCTTGGCCTCACGCGATCCTCCCATCTCAGCCTCCCAAAGTGCTGAGATTGCAGGTGTGAGCCACTGCACCTGGGCTTTTGAGGTTTTTTAAAAAAATATATTTAATAAAACAGAAATGAATGAGCATAATTTTTTTTAAAAAATATGTCTATCTCAGACCAAAAGGCAATATCAGACTTAATAAGGAAACACTAGAAGTTCCCTTGAAGTCAGAAAAAAGTCTGATTGGCACTATTTCCTTTTATTATCTAACACACTCTGGAGGTACTATCTAAAGCTACCAGACAAGAGAAAGAAATTGGAGAAACAAAAATTGTTAGAGAGGAGGCAAGGCTATGACTATTTACAAATTATATAATTGGATATCTGGAAAATTCATGAGAACCAACTAAAAACAAAAATTACTAGAAATAAAACACATTCAGCAATCAAGGTATAAAATAAATACACAGAAATCACAAGCCTCTGTGCATACTAACAGCCAGAAAATATAACAAAAGAAAAGGTCCCAAGTACGTTCATAACAAATAGATAGAAATACAGTTAGCAAAACCAGTCTTTAATAAGATAGGAATCAATGAACACAATTTTCTAAAATATGTCTGTCTCAGACCAAAAGACAATATCAGACTTAATAAGGAAACAAAATGTTCCTGCAGGACAAAGAAGTAGAGTTGAATTAACAGAACCACTTATTATATCTTTGGAGAGTAACATAAAAATCATAAAATATGTCAAGTTGTCCTAAGTTAATTTTTAAATTTAAGGTGATCTTGATTTAAAAAAAAAAAAAGGAAGCGTTTTTTTATTTTTTATTTTTTTGGTTGTTTTTGTTGCTCACTAGAACTAAAGAAAACTGAATCCACAAATCATATTTAAAAAGCAATAAGCCCTAATACGACAGAAGACTCTAGAAAAGAGGAGCAATGATGGAAAACTAGAAACCAGCCCTTCTAGATTTTAAGCGACACTCAACACTTTTGGGAACTGGAGCTTGAACAGATCTACTGAACAGAACAGAGGCAAATGCATACAGGACTTTGGTATGTAAAGTTGGCATTTCAAATCAGTGGGGACTATAAAGACGATTCAATAAATGGTGTTGGTATAAATGAGTGGCCATTTGGGGAGGAAAAAAAAGAAACATTGGGACCATATCAATTTATGCTAGGGGAAATTCTGGATAGGTGGAAGGTTAAATGTGGGAAGTGAAAGAATCAAAGTTCTAAGAGAAATGAGGAAAAAATCATTTACAATATCAGAGTGGGAAAGCCTTGAGAACATGACTTAAAATCCAGAAGACATGAAAGAAAATAATGACAAGTTAAAAACATAAAAATCAAAAACATCTGCATGAGTGAAACACCATAAACAAAGTCAAAAGACAAAGGACAAACTTGGGAAAATATTTGCATCTCATCTAACAGAAACAGAGCTAATTTGGTTTTATTTATTTTAATAGCTTTAGGGGTACAGGTGGGTTTTGGTTACACGGATGAATTGTACAGTGGTTAAATCTGGGATTTTAGTGGACCCATCGTCACCCCAAGTAGTGTACATTGTACCCAATAGGTACTTTTTCATCCCTTACCTCCCTCCTAACCTCCCCCATTCTGAGTCTCCAATGTCCACAGTACCACTCTGCATGCCTTTGTGAACCCATAGTTTAGCTCCCACTTATCAGTGAGAACATGCAGTATTTGGCTTTCTGTTCCTGCATTAATTCACTTAGGATAATGGCCTCTAGCTCCATCCATGTTTTGGCAAAGGACACAATTTCATTCTTGGGGCTAACTTTTAAAGTTCCTGTAAAAAGATAAGGGAAAGGACAAAACTCAATAACAAATGTGCAAGGGATATGAACAGCCAATACATAGAAAAAGAAAAGCAAATGGAACTGGGCATGGTGGCTCATGCCTGTCATCCCAGCACTTTAGAAGGCTGAGGTGGGCAGATAGCTTGAGCCCAGAAGTTAAGAGACCAGCCTGAGCAACATAGTGAGACCCCCCTCTCTATTTTAAAATATGTTTTAAAAAAAAAAAAAAAAAAGCAAATGGTTCTTTAACTTTTGAAAAGATACACTCATTTTTTTAAAAAAACTAAACTACACGAAGACACTTTCTCCCATGAGATAAGCAAAAATCTAAAAGTTTAATAATACACTATGCTGATGTGTACATCTGTTATGTGTAACAGGTGTAAAACTAAATGTGTACATCTAAATGTAGATATACACCTGTGTACATGTTATTAAATGTACTGCTAAATATTTTTGAACCTATTATAAATGAAATTGTTTTTCAATTCATTTTCCAGTGGTTGCTGCTAAAATATAAGAATAGAATTGGCCAGGCACAGTGGCTCATGTCTGAAATCTCATCCTTTGTGAGGCCGAGGCAGGAGGATCACTTGAGGCCAGGAGTTCAAGACCAGCTTGCTCAATAGAGTGAGACCCCCATCTTGACAAAAATAAAAAATAAGCCAGATGTGGTGGCACATGCCTGTAGCCTCAGATACTTAGGAGGCTGAGGTGGGAGGATCACTTGAGCAAGGAGTTTGAGGCTGCAGTGAGCTATAATTGTGCCACTGCACTCCAGCCTGGGTAAACAGAGCAAGACCCTGTCTGTAAAATTTTAAAAAGAAAACAGAATTGATTTTTGTATTTTAATTTTATATACTTTGACATATTTACTTATTACTTGATGTCGTTTGGCTCTGTGTCCCCACCCAAATCTCATGTTGAATTGTGACCCTGAGTGTTGGAGGTGGGGCCTGGAGGGAGGTGATTGGATCGTGGGGGTGGTTTCTAATGGTTTAGCACCATCTCCCTACTGCTGTCTTATGATGGAATTCTCATGAGATCTGCTTGTTTAAAAGTGTGTAGCACTTCCCCTTTCACTCTCTCTTACCTGCCATCATGTAAAGATCTGCTGGCTTCCCCTTCACCGTCTGCCATGATTGTAAGTTTTCTGAGGCCTCCCCAGCCATGTCTTCTGTACAGCCTGCAGAACTGTGAGTCAATTAAACCTCTTTTCTTCATAGATTGCCCAGTCTCAGATAGTTCTTTATAGCAGTATGAGAATGGACTAATACAGGAAATTGGTATCAGAGAAGTGGGGCATTGCTACAAAAGATACCTGAAACTCTGGAAGCAGCTTTGGATGGGTAGAGGTTGGAACAGTTTGGAAGGCTCAGAAGAAGACAGGAAGATAAGGGAAAGTTTGGAACTTCCCTAGAGACTTGTTGAATGACTTTTACCAAAATACTGATAGTGAGATACAGACAATGAAGTCCAGGCTAAGGAGGTCTTAGATGGAGATGAGGAACTTACTGGAAACTGGAGTAAAGGTCATTCTTGCTATGCTTCAGCAAAAAGACTGCTGGTATTGTGCCCCTGCTCTAGGGATCTGTGAAATTTGAACTTGAGAGAGATTATTTAGAGTATCTGGTGGAAGAAATTTCAAAGCAGCTAACCATTCAAGAAGTGACCTGGCTGCTTCTAACAGCATATGCTCATATGCATTTGCAAAAAAGGTGGTCTAATATTGGAACTTACATTTAAAAGGGAAGCAGAGTATAAAAGCTTGCAAAATTTTCAGCCTGCCATGTAGTAGAAAAGAAAAACCTATTTTCTGGGAAGTAATTCAAGCCAGTTGCAGAAATTTACATAAGTAAAAAGGAGCAAAATGTTAATAGCCAAGACAATGGGGAAAATGCCTCTAAGACATTTCAGAGACCTTCATAGCAGCCCCTCCTATTACAGGCCCAGAGGCCTAGGAGGGAGAAACGGTTCTGTGGGCCAGGCCCAGGGTCTTACTATTCTGTGCAGCCTTGGGACATGGTGCCCTGAATCCCAGCCACTCCAGTTTCAGTCATGGCTAAAAGGGGCCACAGTACAGCTTGGGCCATTGCTTCAGACGGTGTAAGCTCCAATTCTTGATGGCTTCCCTGTAGTATTGGGCCTGTGGGTACGCAGAGGGCAAGAGTTGAAACTTGGGAGCCTCTGCCTAGATTTCAGAGGATGTATGGAAACACCTGGATGTCCAGGCAGAAGTCTGCTGCAGGACTGGATCCCCCATGGAGAACCTCTACAAGGGCAGAGTGAAGGTGAAATGTGAGATTGGAGCTCCCACGAAGTTCCCACTGGGGCACTGCCTAATGGAACTGTGAGAAGACAGTCACCATCCTCCAGACTCCAAGATGAGAGATCCACTGACAGCATGCACTGCGCACCTGAAAAAGCTGCAGGCACTCAATCCCAGCCCGTGAAAGCAGCTGTGGGGCTTGTATCCTGCAAAGCCACAGAGGCAGAGCTGCCCAAGGCCTTGGGAGCCCACCCCTTGCATCAGTGTGCCTTGGATGTGAGACATGGAATCAAAGGAGAGTATTTTGGAGCTTGGAGATTTAATGACTGTCTTCCTGGGTTTTGCTTGCAAGAGGCCTGTAGCCCCTGTGTTTTGGCCAATTTCTCCCTTTTGGAATGGGAGCATTTACTCAATGCCTGTACCCGCATTGTATCTTGGAAGTAACTAACTTGTTTCTTTATTTTACAGGCTCATAGGTAAAGGGTACTTGCCTTGTCTCAGATGAGACTTTGGACTGGGACTTTTGAGTTAATTCTGGAATGAGTTAAGAATTTGGAGGATTGTTGGGAAGGCATAACTGTTTTTGAAACATGAAAAGGACATGACATTTGGTAGAGGCCAGGCACAAAATGATATGGTTCGGTTCTGCGTCCTTACCCAAATCTCATGTTGAATTGTGATACTGAGTGTTGGAGGGGGGGCTGGTGAGAGGTGATTGAATCATAAGGGTGGTTTCTAATGGTTTAGCACCATCCTTCTAGTGCCATCTTGTGATGGAATTCTCATGAGATCTGCTTCTTTTAAAAGTGGGTAGCACCTCGCCCTTCGTTCTCTCTCTCACCTGCCACCATGTGAAGATGTGCTGGCATCCCTGTCACCTTCTGCCATGATTATAAGTTTCCTGAGGCCTCCCCAGCCATACCTCTTGTACAGCCTGTGGAACTGTGAGGCAATTAAGACTTTTCTTCAAAGATGACCCAGTTTCAGGTAGTTCTTTATAGCAGTGTGAGAATGGAATAATACACTACTTCTAATTATTTTGTAGATCCTTAGGATGTCCAAAACAATCATATGTAAACAATCATATTGCCTGCAAATAAGGACGATTTTGCTTCCTTCTTTCCAATCTTTATTATTTTATCATTCTTTATTGCAGTGGCTAGAAGCTCCAATTCAATACTGAGTAGAAGTGGTAAAAAAAAAAAATGAGCACATTTGCCTTTTTTCTGATTTTGGTAGAATATCATTTAATATTTCACCATTAAGTATAACGCTTGCTGTAGGTTTTTCATAAATATTCTTTATGAAGTTGAAGAAGTCCTTTATAGTCTCAGTTTGGTGAGAAATTTTCTTATAAATGGATATCAAATTTTGTCATATTTTTTATCTACATGTGAAAATGAACAGATAGTTTTTTCTCCTTTATTCTGTTAATATGGTGAGTTATATTGATTTTCAATATATTGTTAAACAAACCTTGAATTCCTGGGATAAAACTAATTGGTTATGCTGTATTATTTTATTATTTGCTTCATGTTTGTCTCCTCTGCTGTTAGTCCCTCTTGTTCTCCCTTTCCTATATTCTTTTGGATTAAGTGAATATTTTTATAATTTCATTTTAACTTACCTATTGGTCTTTTAGTCTTTTACATGATTTCTTAGAAGCTCCTCTAGAGACTACAATATAATCCCTTAACTTCTCAGTCTACTCGCAATTTTATTGGTCCATTTACCCTCCCTAGCCATACCACCAACACTGCCACCATCTTTTATGCCATAGCTGCCATATAATCTATCTATATGTGATATAAACCTTAAGTCAATATTATAATATGTCCTTTATACAGTTGTGCATATATGAAAAAATTGAGAGGAAAATTGGTCTTTGATGTTTACCCCAATATTTATAATTTTTTATGCTTTTCATTCCTTTTCTCATATTCTGTACAACTTTCTTTAGCTTCTGGAAGTGCAGGTCTTCTGGTGATGAAATCTCAGTTTTCTGATATCTGAAGATGTCTTCATTTTGCTTTCATTCTTGAAGGATATTTTTGCTAAACAGAGATTTCTAAGCTGACAGTTTTTTCTTTAAGCACTTCAACAATTTCATTCCACTGTACCTGACTTCTATAATTTCTGCTGAGAAGTCCACAACCATTGAAATCATTATTCTCCTATATATAATGTGTCATTTTTATTTACTGCTTTTAAGATTCCCCTTTGTTTTTTGTTTGTTTGTTTGTTTTCAGTAGTTTGACTATGATGTGTCTAGTTTGTTTTTCTTTGTATTTATCCTGTTTGGGATTCACAAAGCTTATCCAATCAGAAAATGTAAACATCTTATTAAATTTAGGATGTTTTCAGCCACTATTTTTTCAAATGTTTGCCATCTCATTCTTTTTCTTCTCTCTTCCTGATACTTTAACTATCCATAATGTCAGCTTTTTTAATATTGTGCCACACATTCCTGAGGTTCTCTACGTTTCTCACTCCCTTTTCTCCTCCTCCTCCTCCTCCTTCTTTAGATGGGACAATTTCTATTGCTCTATCTTCAAATAGAGGCATTTAGATATGTGCAGAAACTGGTCAGCTTCCAAAAATGCAAATACAGCCCAAATAAATGTTAAGAACAATATATGAAAGTCTTAAGAAACCAGAAACATGTCAAGCAGGGAGACCTTCACTGTTAGGTGATAGGGCAACCATCTGGTCATTTCATTC